CATTTTCCAGAATATGTACGATACTAAATTTACTCAATTTTATAGAATAACATTATTGATTTGAAATCTATTGGACGCTTTTTTCCATTGAAAATAAAATGAACTGTTAGCCAGAAGGTTGCCAAATATGCTCCAAATTTTTCCAGAGGATTATTTTTATTATTTTTTATAGATAAAATAAATGAGAAACATTACGAATGATATTATGTAATGAAAAGGCTTTATAACTTAATTTAAAAGTTTCTTGATCAATTGTTAAGAAGTATATTTTATATACTACATAAAAATTCAAATAAATCATTCTCCCACCAAAGCACAAGAACTGTCGGTAAAAGTAATTATTTCCATTTCATAAAATTAATTTTCGAGACTTTTGCGCGCCTAAAGTTAGGCAACATTTAAATGAGAAAAGTAATTAAAATGATTTTGTGCAATAAAAGTGTGACGCGGATGTAAAAACGCTAATAACAAACGTTACACAGCAAAAATAACGGTATATTGATAGAAATGAAATGTAAAAAAAAATTAAAAATGAAAAACGCCTAAAAGTCGGCGTGTCAATAATAGAAGCGAACATAAAATGACTGCGTAAATACAAAGTAGTTGAAGTGTGAAGCATAAAAAAATCGTAAAATGGAATAAATGATTTTAAGGATATAAGTGTATGTATGTTTGTATCTATATGTACATGTATCGCATCACATAGCTATAAGCATTTAATTAACTTTTAGCGCCTAAATTGCTACCGATAAAGCTAACACAAACATTTTATAACATTTGACTTATGTATGTATGTACAAGCACATACATACGTATGGCCGTAGGCTGGTAATTAATGCGCGGCAGCTGAATGTTATCACAAATGCAAAATCTTAATGACTTCTCTGTTAAGTACACGCACACATACATGCATAGATACGTATGAGCGAACCACTTACAAAGATTTCAAAAATTCAAACCACTTTACACACATACTCGTATATCGTACACACGCGCTTGTCACGATTCACGGTACGCCCCAAAATATGCAATTATTTGTGAATGCTATTTTATTTGCAAAAATTATTGCTGCCATAACGTGCCTAGATAGTCGTACATAAATTTACATATTTTCATATGTGCACAAGTAGGTATGTACATATTTCCAAGTTTGTTTTTGTCAGTTACCGCTAACTGGCGCAAATAAATTCTAATTACGAACATGTAAATGTCATTAAATTTAATAAACAAGCAATTACAATGCAATTTCAGCGCCTAAAGCTGAATTCCGTTTAAATAAATGCCCATCTATATAAATGTACATACATATGTATGTATGTATATAAATTATATCAACTTCACTGATAAACACTATTGCTAGTGTTTGCAAAGAAAAAATATTTTACATGACTTCAGGTAGATAATTAATAATATTTTTGTTGCTGAATTTGTTTAGCGTTAAGAATCTGATGTGTATTTATGTGTGCGTTTGTGTTGTTGGGATTTTGTGATTTGCTTAAAGCTTTCAAGTGCGGTTAATTGAAGAAAATATTTGTATTGACATTTAAAAAACGTTGGAAAGGAGATTTAAGCATAAATATAAAATATTTAATCTGAACATTTACTTGTTTCATTTAATATTATATTATATTAGGCAAAGTGGCATGGCAAAGAGTATTTATTTATTTATCTTGCCATAAAAATTCCGGAAAACGATTGAATAAAATCTTTTTTTTTATATTTATAAGCGAAGGGAGTTCCATAATTAACGCGATAATGAAATTAACTATAAACAGTTTTTACTCTTCTGATTGCCATTTTCTTAATTGAATCATTAAGTACATCGATGGGTTATTTATGGAAGCACACATCGGGCTTCTACGGCTTAGCAAGCACATACCTAAGTTATCCAATGACTATTCTGCATAGCTGTGGAAGGATTTCATTGATCCAATGTTGAATCTGGTTGTGGACTTGTTGCCATAAACCTGTGAAATAATCCCATAAAGAGAAATCCAATATTGTTAAATCGCACGATCTAGGGGCCAATTCTGATCATCAAAGCGAGAAGTATGTGACCCCGAAATGTCTCATGCCGTAATTGAAATGTTTCACGGTCTATACGATATGCGAAATCCACACATTGATATTGATGGTACATTTCATCCAATTTCGGCAAAAAGAACTGGGTTTTCATATCGCGGTATCGAACACCAGTAACAGACTCCATTTGGCTAACCTCAAAGAAGTATGCTTAAGTATGCTTCCAGCCTAAAATTCCACCAAACAGTTACACGTTTTGGATGCACTTGTTCGACAATCACATGTGGTTTCTTGGAACACAAAAACCGTAAGGTTTGACGATTAACAAATCAATATGTAAATGAGCTTCAGTATGATTTCGCTCAAAAAATCAGCAGCTTCGTGAAATCAGCGTTTCTTGTTCAGGGTGCCGGATCGAGATTCTTAGACTGTTACTGAAACTCTCACGCACTGCTTCGATATTGTTATTTGACCGACTTGTTTTTGGACGACCAGTGTGTAATACGTCTCCAACGGGTCCTGTCTCCCGGAATTTTTCAATGACTCTCTTCACAGTAAAAAATTCTCAAACTGCGGTCGCCAAGCTTTCATTATTTTTTATCTACTGTGTAGCGCTCGTTTTTATTATGGTGGTTAACATTTTACGTGGCGGCAAATCTATATCTTGCGTTAGTTGTGGAAATCCTGTACAAGCAGTATTTTAAGAAAAAAAAGGAAACTGTAGAAAAATTTTAAATTTTTCACATACGTGAAAATTTTAGGTACAAATTAAAAAATTTTTTTTAATAATTATGTGATGTAAAAAACCTATTTAAATTTGAATTGATTATGAATTGAATATGAATTGAATTTGACTTGAATTTGAATTGAATTTGACTTGAATTTGAATTGAATACGAGCTCCTCCTCCAATTGGTGGTTTTGCGCCTTGATGTGTTTCCAACAAATGGAGGGATCTACAGTTTATTCTAAGCCGCTTCCGAACGGCTGATGGGTTTTTTATGAGGAGCTTTATATCATGCCAGAAATACAGGTCTCATTTTTTAAGTTGTAATTATATGTACCATAATCTTCTTTTAAAGCAATAAAACCTGGCTCCGTTTGAGACACAATTTTTGCATTAGGTTTCAACAAAGCTAAGGTGTTGTGGGATTACAAACGCTCTATTTTCATAGAAGCCTGATTTCGTACAAACAAGCCAGGCCTTTAGTTTACTTAATACTTATATCATACAAAACATGTTTGGTTTGACAGTTAAGATGTCAAAATACTGCCCTTTGCTTTTGAAGCCACGAAATTGATAACCCTATATAAAACATATACCGATGGTCTCAATAAAAGGGCGGTGGTTCTACGCATTGATGGAACTGACCCGGTTTGAACTCCTGCTTTAATATCACTCGGAAAAAATATTATTACCGCAAAGGAGATTTTTAATTAACCAAAACTGCTCTGTAGTTTTTTAATTTGTGCACACAGTTGAGTAGTTCGTGATTTACATTACATTAATGAAATTATGCTGAATCACTGAAAACAAAGAACAAAAGCAGTGTACTTACAGTTATTGCGATTTTTTCACACTTCGTTACATCATCGAAAGCAAATTTTTTTTGCCCGAATTGGAAAATTTGATTATTCTCTGAAATTTCAATTGCAAATCGAACGCAGCTCCTAATTTCAAGATAATCATGCGGAATTCATTCCAGAACTTAATTGGGTAGCGCTATAGTAATTGGAGCGCTGAAGTAATTTGCGACCGAGTTCCTCCTACCGAATTTACCTACACAGACCTAAAGTTTATTCTAAGCCTCCTCCGTAGCCCGTATGAGAAATAGCTTTTAAAGACTTTTTTTTCGCATTTTTCCAATTTTTCAAATTTTTCATGGAAAATGTGCACTCATTAAATCTCTCAAGTGTCGTTTTCATTTTCTATTTTTCTTTTATGTATGTATTTATTTTTATATTCAGTTAAAAAATACTCTCAATTTTGATATTTATTTATAAATTTAATCAGTTATATAATTTCATGTATGGCATTCAATAATCTCGATACTTTATGTATTAAATGTTATTTTAAATTGTATATGAAATATAAATAGTATAACAACAAATATTAGCAAAGCATTAGCAAGCATTTTTTACTAATAAAAAAAAAATTGTTTTCTAAAAATTTAAACTAAAACAACTTTAAAATTTTTTCATTTAAATATTTTAATATAAATATTATCATGCACACGTACTTATTTATACGGCATATAAGTAACGAAAAAACAACAACTTATTTAACTTAATTCATATATATATTTAATTGCCTAAACGACATGCAAATGCGCAATAAAATTCAATAAAAATTAATAAATAAATTAATATTAATGAAATTGCGCTCATAACACTACATTTTTACTAACTAAATTTTGTATGCAAATATTTACATAATCACATGTACGTATATTTTGGAAATACGTGTATGTAAAAGCAAGCATAAAATTTTGTGTTAAAAAAAAAATATTATAAAAATTTTTTACAGTAATTTACAGCTAAAGCAAATTAATTTGCTTGCAAAATTGTGTGTGAAAAATTTGTGCAAAACAAATATCCACTTGAACGCCTCAAAAATGGTAATTTACAAAATTTTATGCTCTCACTAATTTCCTTCATATACAGTTTTATTGTATTTTTAGCTATATTTACTACATCAATAACCATTTTACTAAATAAATATTTATTTTTTTCTGCATTGTTGTTTTTTTTTTATTTCTCTATTTCCATATACGCACACACCCATGCTGCTGAAAAATCAAAAAAAAAATGAAAAAAAAAACCAAAAACAACAACTTCATCTACGTAAACTTTGCTTTCATCGCATATCCTTTCAAAACCATGCCTCGCAATCAACACACGCACACCTATAATGCTATACATTTATCTACATACGCGCACACATACATACACACAACCATATTAATGTGTATGGTATAGGACTGGCCGCAATCAGCCACCCATGTATACGGAAACTTTGTCGGAAAGTTTGGCGCTGATGATCACATCGCTGTCGGTCGAAATGGAAGGCAAATATTATTGCACCGCCTCCTATGCAAATACGGAATTAATGAATACGAGCGTTATAATTAAAACTTATGGTAAGTTTCTATTTAAACTATGTATTTTACCTATCTACTATTACTACAACATGCATTAGTTTTAACTTTTCCCTACCTACACGTATACATTTGTATGCACAAATGCACTCACATATATGTATGTATATAAGCGTTTGAATGTGTGTACTTGAGCGTCCCTTTACAGCCCAGAGTTAAAGTAGTTAGCTTCAGCTCTTGATGCATTTCCGCAGCAGCTAACTTTTCGTACTTAAGGGCGCACTTAAGTATTGTTGATTATGCCATCGTAACGATTATGGCCTGCTGTGCCATAGGGCGGCATCATTAATGCATGCTCGCTTGCAATTTTCGGCGATTACATTTTGTTTTGCAGTTGCAATTCCACTTATGTCTTTTATGTAGATAATTTTGAGCTTAAATGTTCATTTTGACAGCTAGAACATGGTATATTTTTAATGTTTTTTCTCAAAATGTTCGCTCAAAAACGCGTTTCATGTTTAAAACTTTTATAAAAAATCAGTTGGCAAGTTTAAATTATGTGTACTGCTTGTTCAAGACGAAAAAAACCAAATCTTTAAAATCATACTGATCAGTTTAATACAACTTACAGTCCCCATACAAATATTAGTTCAAAAATTATATTTTTGGCTCTACCTTGAATAAAAAGGCAGTAAAAATATTCAAATTTTTGTGTTCAGCTTACTTAGCAGAAAGAGAAATCTAGCTGTAAAAATTTTCACGATCGGATTACTAGAACATAATGCGCCCATACAAAAGTTAGTTCAAAAATGATATTTTTGGCTGTACCTTGAATAAGAATGCAGTAAAAATATTGCAATTTTTGTGTTCAGCTTACTTAGCAGAAAGAGAACCCGAATTGTAAAAATTTTCACGATGGGATTACTAGAACATAATGCGCCCATACAAAAGTTAGTTCAAAAATTATATTTTTGGCTGTACCTTCAATAAGAAGGCAGTAAAAATATTCCAATGTTTGTGTTCAGCTTACTTAGCCGAAAGAGAAACCTAACTGTAAAAATTTTCACGATCGGATTACTAGAACATAATGTGCCCATATAGAAGTAAGTTCAAAAATGATATTTTTGGCTGTACCTCGAATAAAAAGGTAATAAAAATATTTTAATTTTTGTGTTCAGCTTACTTAGCAGAAAGAGAAACCTAACTGTAAAAATTTGCACGATCGCATTACTAGAACATAATGCGCCCATACAAATGTATTGTAGTTCCCCTAAAAGTGAAGCTAGAATATTTTAAATTTTGTATTCTACTCAGTCATCATAAGCAGAAACGTAGCTATGAAAAGCATAGCGATAGGCTTACTACCTCAAATACAAAAAATAGTTCAAAAATTGGATTTTTGGTTATGTCTTGTATAAAGAAGGCAGTTGAAATATTTAAATATTGTCATATGGTTACTCATCATAAAAAAAAATCTAAGTAAGAAAATCAAAAGGATCGGTTTTTTATAACTTAGGTATGCATCCCATACAATAATCAAATTTTGCTTATAACTCCTTGAAACCACCAGCTAAAGAGTTCAATTTTTTTATGCTGCTTGCTCATGTTAAGAAAAAACTTGAATTGATATAGCGTCCATTCGAAAGTATTACCTTTAGCTTAGTGAATTTTTCTGATATTTATATTTGATTTGATGAGCACACATGCGATATGTAGAAGCATTATGGTAAAACTCAATAAGATGTGACATCTAGAAGATATATCCGTCATACAATTGAAGGCTCGCTTATGCGATTTTGACTTCTCTAAAGCATAAAATTCAATCGTAGATATGTTTAATATTGTTTCAAGGAAGTTATAATATTCTAAACAACTTTTTCAACATTTTTCCATTTTTGTTTTTTTTTTTCTTCTTCTTTAAATAGTTCTCAACTTTTTATCTCTTCGAAAAATTTATTTTATTGCTATATGAGCAAATTTTGGTATATTTTGTTCCACTTGAACGCACGACTGCACTTCTTATTTGCCAAATTGTGGTATTGCATTACCATTTTATAAAATCCATTTGTATTTTTACGCCCAACATGGAGGGCAATAAACTTTTTTCCAACCATTCACAACACACACATACCCACACAAGCCTACAGCGGGTTCACACTTGCCGTGGCTAAGCAACTAACTCGTACGTGAATATTTTATGCCATTGCTAGCAAACACACGAAAATGTCCCACTGTATGTCGTGTGTGTGTTGCGAAAATTGCAAGAAAAAGTGCCGTAGAAATAGGCAAGCCAACTGCATAAGAAAATGCTATATTAAGAAGTGTAGTCTGCTTTTAGGCGCACAAGTTATGTACGTACGCTTGAGCGTGTGCTAAAGAAAATGGCAAACGTGTTGGCAACAAACTTGCATAAAACAACGAACATACGTGTGTGTTTAACAGCAATTATGGTCATAAACAAGTTGTTGCTATTGCTTGCTATGCGTTTGTGGGAGAATAATGGGCGTGAAGCATGAGAACTGCATGCTTTTTGCACACGCACACGTACATATGTATGTACATATGTCTGGATGTGTGAATATATGAATGAGGTGGAAAATAGTTATAAATATATTCCCTATACATATACATACTTTTATTAAAATGTGCATAGGTATATGGATGAGGATGTTCGTGTGTACTTTTTACGCTGACCAAACTTTAGGTTAGCAATTTTTGTTGTTGCTACTGTTTTTTTCATAAATTGCATTTCATAAGTTTTTAATAAGTTTTTTCCAAAAAATTTTTCACCACAAAAAGTTGGTTGTAGCAAGAGTTCTTGCGGTCTAGTTTAAGGCTGTAAATTCTCGCTATATGGTTTGTTATTTCGAAATATATATTTATATATATAAATATGTATGCACATTTATACATCAGCATAGAAATATTGCTCAATGCATAAATAAATTCCATTTATTTCGTATTTATGTTTAAAAAAAAATAGTATTGCATTGCAGTTATCTACATAAAATTTGAAAACTTCTTAAACAAATATGGCATTATGGCATGATAGTTTTCGGCAGTGCAGAAAATTTGAAAATGTATATTGTTGCTTTACAATAGTTTTTATTTTCGTTCGTAGTTTGTGGCAAGCTTGCAATTTTTTCCCCCCATAACATTTAATTTCTACTAGATTTATGCATTGGAAATATATAACAAAATTTGCTCAATGTATCAATATATCTAAACCTTTATTAAATACACATAGTTTTTATTATTAAATGAGTAATATTTTAGTTAGATACTTAGCTGAATTTTGTTTATTGCGCTTCTCAATGGGTTAGAAAATTAATATGTACACTTAAAAATTGTTTTTTCTTAGTGTTATTTATATTTTAAGGCATGGAATTTTAATTCCCTTTTCAATTTTATATTACATTTTAATGTAGGTAAGGCATTTTTTAATTAAAAACTTTTTTAATATTTTCCTGTTTGTAATCAAAATTTTCAAAAAGTTGGCAACTCCTCTTTAAAATAGAGCTAGACAAATTTTAGCTGAATTTTTTTTATTCAAAAGCCATAAGGTAGTTTTTCATTTAGTTGGCAACTTTATTATAATTTTTTCAACCTCTAAAATTCTTTAGTTTTTTATTCAAGTGAATTGGTTTTACTTGTTATTTATTTAATTTCTTTTTTTTGTTTTAAAGTCAGCTGGCAACTTTACCACATTGTTTTCAATATTTTATTTAAATATTTTGGTTTTTTATTTTCTGAAATCTTATATTGGTAAAATAAAAATATATAATAAATGTTATGAAATCCTGCAAAGCATTAAATGTGTATTTATATTATAACCTGGCAACCCCATTCCAAAAATATCTAATTAATCAAAAAAACTATTTTATTTTATGCCCCTATTTTTTAATTAAAAATAATAAAACATATTCTTTTCTGTGTAAGAAAAAATATTTAACAGTTGGGAAATTTTATTGTAAACGTTTCGAGTCACATTAATTTTTCATACATGTGATATGAAGAAATATTTTTAAAATATTTATTTATTTTAATTTTTTATTTGTTTCCTTACCTTTGTAAAAACTTTTGCTTTCAAATTGTAACAAGTGGCAACTCTCTCAAAAAATATTTAATTTTTCAGCGCAAGCTCCTTTAATTCTCTTTATTTTGATAGCCATTGTGAAATATTTTATTTTTCCTTAACTTTTTCACATTTTCCACATTGCTGCCCACATTGCTATAAAAAAATTTTACTGAATGTATCATGATTTCTTTTTTTTCTCACTCGTCTTCCTTTCAGAACTTTTCTTTTCTGTGTTTTTCTGTTACTACTTTTATCAAAAATATTTTCGACAGGAACTAAGATTTTATATGCTTTAGACAATACTATATGGCGGCCGCGGTAGCCGAGTGGTTAGCATTGCGTACTGCCGGGTTTAAGTCCTGTGCCCTTCGGCACGGAATGTCAACCCCTGCGAGTGTATTTCTGACATGAAAACAGCTTCTGATAAAAAACTATCTGCCGTTTGGAGACGTTTAGTGTAAACTGCAGATGCTTCCATCTGTGGGAAACACGAAAAACGCTTCAGCGGTTACAAAGCGCCTATTATATAATATATGTGTAAATATAATCGAATGTGGTGTAGATATTTTTAAATAATAAACTAAATTTCCAATGCCTGGGAACGCTTCAAAACATAATTTAAATTATTATTTTTATTTATTATTTCTTTAGTCTTTTCGTGAGTAAAACTACATTCCAAGCTAACCCTCCTTCAATGCAACTAACTTCTTCGAATAGTACACTTATTCCTGCTCTATTCAACTTAGTAAGGCCCAATTATTCGTTTTACGCTATTTTCCAATTCCTTTTCCCCTAAAGTATCCAATATAACTCATGAACAGTCCTATCATCTGTATATTGTGCCGCTGTGACATCACTAAAGCCAATTTTTGTGAGAACTTTAGAATTTAAACAGTATTTGTACCAAAAAAAAAAAAAAAAAAACATTTAAAAAAATCGGAAAAAAACTTTCCAAATTCGAATG